TTTGTAGAATAAATTAGAATAAAAGTAGAATATTTTCTGTAATGTTTCACTACAATCACTTTCATACCATTTGAGTGGCGTTCCTTCATACTCGAACCACATCTCCTCCACGTCCTCCGCCCTCATCACTTTCTGGAAGTGTTTCTTCACCTTGTCTGTGACAACAGGCAGGTAGCTCACCCTGGGTAGCAGCAGCTGATAAAAACAAATAAACAACCTTCAGAGGTGAAACAGTTTGTTGATCTAAAGGTAAAATACAACCACTGATCTACCATGGACAGTCTAGTTGGGTTAAATGAATGCCTGCGATAACGTGCTTCATTTTTTGTCTCATCCTCATTTCTTCGTTTTGCATTTAAAACTTCTACTAAGAACCTTCTATCCAAAAGTGCAAAATATTAATTCTTGCTATCTGTCCACTGGTTGTACAGAAGTGTATTAGGTTCCAATTTCACTTGAGATCTGACTGGTTATTTCAAACTTGTTCTGATGATGACAACAAATAAACAAAAAACATACCACAGGTCCCTTTACAGGAAATAGTTTTAAAGGTTAGAAATTTTAAGAAAATTAAGTTGAGATTAATGAGAGTAATAAAAGTGCAGGCAATGAGTTGCAGTGTTTAATTACCTCCGTCTAGGGGGTTAACTTTTTTGGAGAGCTTGTGTATGTTTTTCTGTCTGTGTAAAAGGAGTAAGAAGTTATGGACAGATTTTAATGAAACTGATTTTTTTTATCAGAGGTCTCCCTAATTCCAAAGAACAATTCATTTAATGTTGCTGATGATCCAGATCATGATCTTGATACAGGAATTTTCTAAAAGATTCTCTACTATTGTGAGATAGGGATATTTGGTAGAACAACAGTTCTCCACTAAACCAGAGGGTGGCAGCAGTGACTACTGACAGTCTAAGCAGGAGGTATTTTAATAAAGACAAAAACAAAAGAAAATTAATCATGGTTGGCTTGTTAGCAGGATCAATTGAAAACTTATGAACGAATTTTAAGGAAAAAATGTTTTACCAGAGATGCACCTCATGCCAATGAACAATTCATTTACATTTGTTAACAATCCAGATCATCATGTGTGAGTTTTAGTTATAGGTGTAAGTCGCAATTTGGGGTAAAATTTGCTGCTTGGCAAAGGTCTGCTCTCTCCGAGTGATTTGCTAATTTAAAACTGTTTTGAAGTTCTAGGTTTCAAAGCTTTTAAAAAAAAAAAAAAAAAAGAAAAGATCCACAATCTTTGGTAATTGTATTGGTGCTGAAATAGGAATTCCAAAAAAATTAAAAATAACTCACTGGAATTGGTTTCCTAGTTTGAAGACGTTTCGCTTCCCATTCAGGAAGCTTGAACTCAACGCTATTCCTGACATTTTGAATTGAAAAATCTTCCTGGATGGGAAGCGAAACGTCTTCAAACTCGGAAACCAAGTCCAGTGGATTGTTAATAAATTTGTTTTGGAATGACTATGACCTGGATGACAGAGAACCTTCACCAACTATTATGAATGAAAATGCTTCTACTGAACAAGTTATAGTTATATGATGATATTTACAGTCATTACTTTACAGATATTGATAGAATTGGTATCAGCATGGTGACCAAATAAATCCTCCCTGTTATAATGCTGCTTATAATGTCCATGAGCAATGGATGTAAGGAAGTTGGTCTTTCAGTAATCACTAAGTTTGATTTATTAGGGTAAGGTTAAGTCATGAAGCTTGACTTGAAGTAACATAATAAGAGTTATTTTTTGCATTTGTTCAAGAACAACACAACAGTATAATAGGGTTTACTACAGCAATGTCATTTCATGTTATCTTTTTGTAATTAGGCAGACATTAAGCAGTGACTGGGCTCACCAGGTTTCATACATATTAAATTGATTTTCTGTTTTTATTCATTAGATTGATGGTCCACAACGACATGAACAACACAATATGATAAACAGGAACAAACTAATCGGCTTACATAGTATGCTTCTGCCTCCCTTTCAGTCACCTCATCTGGATTCAGAGTGAAGCATGTGGGGATCCGGCCGAACCAAACATCTCTCAACACGTCCTTGTCATCTGCCATGATGCTGCTGTTGCTCTTCCCAGTAGGACATAAATGATAAATCCCCCAAAAGCAGAGAGATGGATCCCAAAATACGAATAGCTTCCTTCAGCTATAAACAGAAAATAAGTCATTTTTAAGTCAAAATGACAACTGCCATTGAAGCATTGGATATACTCAACTCTCAGAGAAGTTATTACGAAGTTATAGAGGAGTAAACTCGTCTAACGGGATTCAAAACTAGCACCTATCCTGTAAAACTACCCCTGTGAACTACATTACAGACGTTAGCTTTAATGCTAGGTAAGCTAACTCAGCAGAGAGAAAATCAACGAAAATGGGCTAATGAACTAATTTGCTTCCTGTCAGGGCACTATGTGCATTTTTCTCGTAACGGATATTTATTGTGTACTAAAAAATACAGCGTTACATTATAAAACCTTACTTTTTGACGATGTTTGGGAGACAGTCTGAATGGAAAGACGGGCCCACAATGTTGTCATCTGCTGCTGCTATAACCCGGAAATCATAATTTACAGCCAAACAGCGACGCCTAGCGGAGACTCCAATATTCCACTAAAAAACAATATATACATATATATTTATATATACATTTTTTATTTAGTTTAAGTTCACCTTAATTCGGAAATATTTTTGGTTTATTACTTAACCAGTAACTTATGTTTTGACAAAAGTAATAAATAATTTCAAAAGGCGCTGTAGCATTACATCATCAACATGCGACGCCCCTTTTCATGTAGCTAGACCCAAATCTTTGGTTGCTGTTGTCATCTTTAGCTGCAAAAGATGGACCAAAAGATGGACACAGACAGCCTTGAAATGCGCCTTCAGGCGTTGGAGAGTCGATTATACGGCGAGAGGAGAAACAAAAGTGGAAAACCCGTTAAGGTCCGTCTGTATAGAGGCACAGAAACGTCAGAGTTTTAGAAATTGTTAGCTGTTAGCTTAGCATAACAAACGATGATTCGTTTTCTGGGTAGGAGTATACGCCCTTTTAGAAAATCATCATTTTTGATTATTCGGTATCAGAAAATATGACATATATAGCTAGACCTGGGACCATAAGTAAGGCAATGTATATAATTTTGATATTGCAATTATTAAATGTTGCTTTTTATCGGCAGTTAACATTAAAATTAAGCTCACTGTTGACTTTTGCCAGAGGGTTTGTTTGCCAAGCTCGTGATGTGAAAACATGTTTTATTAACTCGCAGTCATTCAGGTTTGCTGTTTTATCTGGAGAATATTAAACTAGGAGGACGTTGTAACAACAGAGCTGCTTATTCTTGGTTTTGCTTTTATTAATTCATGGATGTTTGTAACTCCTGACAATCGTTCTCATTCAATTAATACTCCCAAGTTAAAGGTGAAGGCCATAAATCTCCCTGCTATCCTGAAATGTTTAGCACGGAATGATGCATGAAATAGACACTGATTTAAAATGCATTTCGCCCGTTGTAGTTAAACTTGTTTTCTGGTCACACTGGGCATAGCATATGTTAAGGATAGGCTCTGTGTCTGCACCTTGAAGCTCTATCTCTCTGGTTCTTTTCCTTGAAAAGAGATCACTCGGGACAAACTCTTTAAATAACACTTTATAACTTATATTTATTAAGTAACCATGAGACATGACAACATATTCTGATAGAAATTGTAATCTTAGTTCAGAGAAGTTGCTTTTACAGAAGTTTACAGAATGTGAGCTGTTCACCTCTCAGGAAGCAGCTCCGATTAATAGTTAAAAAGGCATTTTATACATCTCCAGTCTGCCACATCATCTTATTTTACATCACACACGTTAGCAGATGAGTAGACATCCATGGCTCTATACCCAAACAGAGGAGCTGTCTTAATTAGATTAAAACATCAGTTCTGACATGCAACAGGCAGCCAATAACAAGGTGTAATAAACTCGCTCATCTTCAATGATAATTATCCAAACACATAACTATAAGAAATAAAAATACTTTCTTTTATATTTTCTGTCTATGACTTTATTCATAAATGCGTTTGCTTTTCCCTGCAGTGTGCTGAATCTTTGGCCAGAATTCAAGCTGGTTTGACCAACACAGCTAACAAGAGAGAGAGAGTAAAGATCCTCCACAAGAAGAGTGAGTCTCTTTAGTTTGACTCATCGGTGATTGATTTTACATCGCATTAGATGATTACTCAGGCTTTTAATATTATGTTATTTACCACCACTGAATGAGTATAAAAGATATAAATGTCCTGATTATTTCCTGTCCCATTCTCTAAGTGTTGTTTTTTTTTTTCGTTTTGCCATCAATCCATCCATCCATTCATTGGTTAAAAACAACTGAAACATTTTAAGTTGCTTAAGTCTAAGGGCATACACTCTGCTTTTTTTTTTTCAATCGTTGACGCAGCTACAGCTCACACTGTACCACGGAACTGCAGGGTTTCGTGGTACAGTGTGAGTTTACAGCTCACGATGTATGTGTGGCACGATGCTCTGATGCGATCTACCTGCTCACACTGTACGACTGAAAACCACGTCGGACTCAGCTCCGCAGTGAGATGGCGCTACTCAGACTCGTCTATCCAGAAGCCAAACCAGTAGAAGAGGAATATGGAGCTCACTAGAGTGAAACACGCTGCCTTGGCAATTTGTGCAATGTTTTGCTGAAAGCCCTAAAAAAAAAACGTATTTGGACAAAGACATGACTGAGCAAACGTGGCTAATGCGGTCTGTCAATTTTACAGAAAGAACTCCATTTCACTCGCACCCCGGCCATGATTCTGTGTTTTTATCTGAGAGGAAGAAGAAGAAGAGTCTTTGTTTGCACATGCCCACTGTGGGATTTGTCCACAACGGTCGACTGAGTTTCAAACATGTTTGATTTTCTCCCGACCTCACGGTTCCTGATCGGGAGGTGGTTGTGAAAGGCTGATCGCCCCTCGTTAGCCCCTCTACACTACATGACGCACGATCAGGCTAAAAGTCGCTTTTACAATTCTCACACGATTGGAAAGTCGCCCAGAACATGGCAAAAAAATCGCAGATTAAACCCAGGTTTAGGCTTTGTATTTATGATTTCTGTCATTAAAGATGCTGCACTTGCATTCTGTAAAGTCTTCTCTCTGATTGTGTTGTGCAGTTGAGGACCTGATGAAGTACCTGGACCCCCAGTTTACTGACCACATCACTCTGCCTGATGCCATGAAACTAGAGTTCATCCTTGCAGGTGTGAGCTACAAGAATATTGTAGAAATAAGACTTTTTGTGTCTCTAATGCTTCATTGATGTGTATTTCACTTCATTTATTGTGTGTCATTGCACAGAGGAAGACTCCTTGCTCTCGGAAGCTGCTTTGTTGGAGCAAGTTAACAGTTTGCAGCCACTGTTGGACAGCACCCACATTAGAGGTTAGAAATGTGCAAATTAAGCTTTATTATTGCATTTTTATTTATTTATCATCTGCCTGCTGAGAACAGAAGTAGACACTAACCTTATCAGTTGTGTCTTAGTTTGATATGTGAATTGTAAACCTCTCATTCTGAGTAGAAGTGCTAATGTTCTCTCCAAAGCCTCTGTCAGCTGTCTTTTTTTTCCCCCCGCGTCTACAGATGTACCTGAACATGCGACAAAGCTGCAGCGTCTTTCACAGATCCACATCAAGCAACAGGCAGGTTCTGCTCTGAATCGTACTATCTGCATTGTTCTTGGCGTAGTTAACAAATGTGTTCTTTTCTTTTCAGGACCAAACTGAAGCTCAGTCGCTGGAAGTTAAGAAGCTTTTTGAGGAATACAACAAAATGGTACCGAACCTTTCAGTAAAAGAAAAAAAAGACAAAAAAATATAATTTTTCAAATTCATTTCATAGTGCACCATTGGAAGGCTGGAAAAGCCAGAATTAGAGCAAATGAATATAAAGATAACCTAGATTGGAAAAGCTGTTTCCCTTTTTTTTAAATGGATTCATGTTAAGGTAGATTGATTTCTCTTTGTTAGATGTTCCTGCTGTCCAAGCAGTTCACCCAGTGGGATGAGACCCTGAGGAAGGCGGAGGAGGCCAAAGGAATCCGACCGGTGGAGTAGTTGCTCTGAACAAAGCCGGACAGATGACGACAGCGATGATGAAGAACCCTGCACTATGAAAGGAGCTCCTGAACAGACATGTTACATTATGTAGCTTATTCCATCCCAGTTAGTCAGAAGGAAAAAACTCAAAATCAACATCATTTCAACACATTTCTTAGCTTCTTTCTTACCTTTTAGCTCTTAATCGATTTACAGGCCAAGAAACCGTTTTTCCTTTAAAACAGCAACATAGTCATGTTGCCTAAACACAGTTAGTGACTGTTTAGTACTTCTAATGCAAAGTTGTGTACTGATAAAATAAAACAACTGGTCTGAGGCTTGTTAGGAATAGTTAAGTCCTTTTATACAGCCCGCAGCGCTAACAACTTTGAATGGCTGCTATTATGCTTTATTGACAGTAGTGCTATTGTAGCTCTTTATTTTAACTTCAACGATTTCCATCCCTCCAATCCTTTTGTAAAAATCACAGAAACACCTATTTTTCCCCTCTTGGATCTCTTAATAAGTAAAACTTTAAATATTGTTTTATTTTAAATGTTTGTGTATAACTTGTCCCAAAGCTTGAAGGTAATCATTAAAGTAATAACTATTACTGTCCTTTTCATTTATGAGTCTGAAACTTGTGACCAAATGAAGACTTGGTTTTCTTCAATGCTGTTGCTTTTCAAGAGTTTCCTTCCAGTGCGAAGTGTCCGGGTCGACATCTTTGAAAGTCTGTTAAAATGGAGCGTAATCAGAAGAATCCTCTCAGTTGTGATGCGAGGGGCATTTGGATTTGTTCCTCAGGTACTCCCGTAAATGCTTCTTGTCAAATTTATCGCTGCCTAACATGAGACCCTCACCAGTCATGTTGAACTGAAAATAGAGGAAAAGCTGTCAGGAACATTTAGGTAATTAGAAGATGATTTAGGAGATAAATAGAGCAAAAATTATGTCATGGTTGTACAGAGAAGCTACAATTCTTAAGCGTTTTTAAATTTTAATTAAAGCAATATGGAATAAGAATCTATGGAATTTGTCTACATGTGAATTTTGATTTATAAACATCTTCCTCCACATAATCATGAACCTTAAAATGCCGTGAAAAACAAATAATAGCTGCTTATAACAATGTAACAATCTATTGATGCTACTTTGACAGGACCTTATTTTGTCATAAGCATCTCACTAAGTTTACAAAGACCCCAATCTTTACATCAATTGCCACAGAAAACCCAGCAGAACAAGCAATTTTTATTTTAATAATCTAAATTAAAAAGTTGCATAGAAAATAAAATTCAAATTTTAATTTATCAGCCAGTTTTATCTAAATTTATCTGAATGAGAAACCTACCAATAGTCAATTACTGATTTGTTGGTATTCATTTTAGTTTTTGAGGCATCTCCTGAGGAATTTAATTTCCTTATTTATATAATGAGTCGATCAAATTCCTTATATGTTAAAAATCTCACGTAACCAACAGATGATTTAAAGAACAAGACTTTTGATTGAATTTAGAGGATAAAACATTTTCTCTTTAGCGTATGTTGTTAATTGTGGTGAATCGAGTCTAAATTGGCAGTTAGGAGGTATTTTATTAATAAGACAATCTGTTTAAATATTTCTATGAAAGATCTGAGGCGTTATTCTCTTTTTGCATCTCTAAACAATAGCCTGTTCTTGAGTTCAAACTAAATGAGCCACATACCTGCACTGCTACCCTCACTCCATAGCGGACGTAGGTGGCAATGTGCTCACAGTTGTTATGAAGGATGCCATAAATCCTGCAGTTCTGATACGTCTCAATGATGCGTTTAATTATTTCCTTATCATCTCCTTTACCGTAAGTCTCTCCTGTTAGGGGGTCTGTATAGTCATCCAGGTAATTGTTCACTTCTGGCTCCTCGTGCATAAGTAGTTTAGAAAATCTGCACGATTTACCATGATATTTCTCTGTGAACAAATAACAGAAAAGAAAAAAAGCTGTTTATTAATCTAATCTATAATTCCCTATAATGTTCTCGAAACATACTTACTTGCTTGTTCATAGATTTCCTCCCCGGCGTTTTTCCCACAAATATTTACATCTCCAACGTAGACGGCGAAGTGTTTGTACCGAATTCCAACTTTACACCTCGTTTTATAAGAAATGATGTCTCCAAATTGGAACTGTAGGTGGAAGAACATATGTAGCACATTTAGAATAAACAGAAATTGATAAAACTATCTGTAATTAAAACATTTTAGATACCTTTGTAAAGTTAAATAATAATAAGGAACTTACTCTACTCATCTCCAGTGTTGTGATCATCAGCAGAAGGATCACATCCACCAGGGTAGCTTCCTTAGGCTTTAAGCAGTCATGGTCTGAGGTGAACATGTCAGACTGGTGAAATAATTTGTTTTAAATGAAAGTTTTCAAAAAGCCATCTCTGTAATTAAAAAAAAGTTTATTATTTAACACAGATTATATTAAAGTGATTGCGATATTTTAGTAGTAAACAGGAGATCAGTCATTATTTCAGGTCTTACCTTCATTTGAAACACTTGGAGTTTACTGAATGGAAGGAAACCACTTCCTTATATACAATTTGGAACAATACTTCTGAGTAGTCGTGACCGTGTGTGCAGTTCTGTATGTTACGAATCCACAATAGGATATCTCCTATCAGTGTTTATGTTTGCTGCGTGTTATCTAAGCTCTGAACAGACTCTCTCATCCGTACAGTTTCTCTTACCAGCTGTTCTGTCTGTTCACAACCAGCATTCGTCACCTCCTGCAAGATAAGCTTTATTAGAGTAAATTCAGTAAAAGGGAGCACATGGCATGTATCTGTCACTCTTTGTTTCGTTTAGGTAGAATGAAACGTAACAGAATGAATTTTCTGTGATATTACAGATCAGGCATTAATGTGTCTGCTGACAAAGGGAAACTAAAACTTAGAGATTCATTAAAGTCCTTTAAGGTTAGTGAAGCATCAAGGTTGCTTTGATCCTCTTTCCTCTAAGTACAGTTGAATTTACAATAATCTGACTTGACTCAGTTAAAATCATCAATTAAGACAAAAATAAAAAAACTAATCATGTTTAGGGAATTTAATTTTCTCCTTCTAGGCAAGGCAAGGCAAATTTATTTGTATAGCACAATTCAGTACAAAGACAATGCAAAGTGCTTTACATGATTAAAATACAGGAAGATCAAACAGAATCAAAGCAAGTAGGGAAAAAAATAAAATAAAAAAATGCAGAAACAAACAAGAAAACTAAAAAATATATGTTTTAGTTGAACTGTTTAACTAGAACAGTTGAAGGCAATCCTAAACAAATGTGTTTTTAGTCTTGATTTAAATTAACTCAGGCTTTCCGCACTTTTACAGTTTTCTGGAAGTTTGTTCCAGATAAGTGGAGCATAGGAACTAAATGCTGCTTCTCCATGTTTAGTTCTGGTTCTAGGTCTGCAGAGCAGGCTGGAGTCAGAAGTCCTGAGTGGTCTGGAGGGTTGATACACTGATAGCAAGTCTGTGATGTATTTAGGTGCTAAGCCATTCAGGGATTCATAAACCAACAGAAGTATTTTAAAGTCTATTCTCTGAGATACAGGGAGCCAGTGTAAGGACTTTAGAACTGGGACTACAGACTAAAGTAATGAGTTATGCACAGTTATTGTTTGGAAACAGTATTTTAATAGACATATCAATCGAAAATCTATCCATTTTCCATCAAGCTTGCTGGTGCCTAGAGGCAGGGTACAACCTGGACAGGTCGCCAGTCCATCGCAGGGCAACACAGAGACAAACAACCATTCACGCACACACTCACACCTAAGGAGTCAATCAAAAATATTTTTAATGAAAAAATAAATATGTTATTATGCAACTTTGGCATAATTTACTATGAAAAAGAAAAAATAAACCTTCAAAGCTTTATCAAAAACGTTCATTACACACCCTGCTTGAATGGTGTTCAGAGCTCATTTCTATGAAGCTTTATTACACCTCATTTATGCATGCTGTGACTGTAAATATAAATCATGTCAATTTTTACAGCTATCTGCTCCAGCTGCTGTTAGATAGTGCCTGTTAAATATATTAACTCTTGTTTTGTCAAGTTAGAACTAAATTGCATAGTTATTATTTATCTTTCTGGGAGAGACACAAAGAAGGGAATGAGAGGAAAGAAAGGGACATATGGTTTTTAAAACCTCATCTTTAACACATCTTATTCCATCCTCCTCCTTGTAATAGCTATGTATTGTAATCTCAGATACATTACATTGACATTTGTATAAACTAAAATGTGTGAACAAATAGCTTCCAAAGTTTTTCATTTTTTTCATGTAATTTATTTTTAAAACCAAGAACAGTTTTCCTAAATTAAGATTTCTTTTCGCAATTTCATAAAATGTCGAAAAATTATAGATTACTGAATGAAATTTTCTATGAAGCACTGTGCATCCTGCTGCTGTAGTTCTATAGAACTGGTTTTGCTTCATTCAGTTTTTTAACCATTTTGTCACATTTATATTCCGTGCTTTAAAATTTTTTTTTTTTAAGTCATTGTCTGAAATTTAAGGTAAAAAATGTGATAAGTACTATGAAACAAAACCAAAGAGCTTGAGTAAATGTACAAACGTCATTCACTGGATTCAAATATATGTTTTTCTTCTAAGAAAGCTCTCAAGAATCTTACCTTTAGTAAATTGCAGATACCTGTTGAGGAAGGAAGAAAGCTTAAATACACCCAAGCAGTCCTTCCACTGTTTCCCAGCCTGTAAAATGAGATGAATTAGTTGGCTTTTTAATTGGAAAATCGACTCTAAGATCGAGAAGGGTTAGTGTCCAGATGTTTTATTTTTCAGGTTCCTTATTCTATTTTGTAAATATTACTTTATTTCTGTTGCTATGTGGAGGTCATCCTCATTTCTGCTGCTGTACTGTAAGACTTTTCTTGTACACATAAAAATGGTTCTATCCCTTTTAGAGCCACGGTCAAACTTTATATGTATATTTGCATATATTTTTCCATACTTATCTGTTGGAGACAGATAATTGTAGGTGTGAGCTTGTTTTAAACCGCTTGTAAAAGCTTTTTATATACGTTAACTAATGACCTATAAAACTGAATTTAATGTTCTGGGTTTGTTTTAGATAAACAATCTATTTTTTTTTTTAAATCTAAGTGTATTAAAATCTGATAGTTCAGATTTGGTTCTTTAATTTCAAGCTATTTAGTCATAATCTGTAGATGTCTTGATTTCTATTTTTTAAGTGTGATGTTTCTCATTTTTAACTGTTGCTTAATCTATTTGATTCCTTATATTTAGTGTTTTAGTGTTTTAGTGTTTTGTGGGGGTCGTTAAAGGGAAATACATGAGGTAATATGTTGCCCTGTAAAGGGGTTTGGGTTGCGATGATAACGACCCCCCTTTCAGAGACATAGCAGGTATGGGGCATTGCAGGCGAACAAAGAAGCCAAACTACCCCCATTTCAAAGGGGTGGACCCGTTCGTCCGTTTCAATTTGTATGTTTTCTAAGCAAAAACAAGTCTTTGTTGAGCTACTGTATAAAGCCTCCGTGTTGTTTCTGACATTTTGAATTGAAAAAGCTTCCTGAATGGAAGGCAAAATGTCTTCAAACTTGGAAACAAAGTCCAGTTCACCAGAATCCGGGACTAGATTGCGGGGGAGACTCGCAAGAGACTCCCAGACTTCCCTCTCTGCAGACATCTCCTCAAGGCTAGGCTTAAAACTTTCCTTTTTGATAAAGCTTATAGTTAGAGTGGCTCAGGTTATCCTGAGCTATCTCTGTAGTTATGCTGCTATAGGCTTCGGATTCTGGAGGACATAGGGACACCTATTTTATCCTTCTGCTTCATTCTCTCTCTATTTTCCCACTCTGCAGAATCTGTTAGTTTAATCACTAACATTATGCTCTCTCTGCTTTTTCTCATAGTAGCTTCGCCTGGTCTGTTCCTGTTTTGCTGTGACACCATCCTGGAGAGAAATATGAGCTGTGCTGCTGCCATCGACACCTTTGTTTATAGATGTTGGCGATCTGCCTGTTTTTCCAGTGTCGTCCTGTTTCTCTGACTGTGACTGGCTGGATGTGCTCTCTTCATCCTCTGACATGGGAGTTGGCTCAGAGCTCTTCTGCCTGGCTGTGTGTTTTCGGGATGGGGCTGCGTTTTATAGCTGCTTTTTATATCTCTGCTTGAACCCCAGTCGGCCTCGGCAGATGGCCGCTCACACTGAGCCTGGTTCTGCTGGAGGTTTCATCCTGTTAAAAGGGAGTTTTTCCTCTCCACTGTCGCTACAAGCATGCTTAGTGAGAGGATTTTTCATAAATGCATTATGTGTTTTAGCAGTTTAAATTAACATTTTACTGCTTCTTGCTTTTTGTGATGCTTTTATTTGATGGACTTTATTGAATTTTGTGACCCCTGAAACATGTTGGATGTGGTTTGCTGTTGGTAGTGAGCTATATCCAAACATGTTAATGGATAGTTGTGTGGAAGGAAAAAAGCTATGTGGATCCCAGCACATTGTGCTTCAAAAACATTTCCTGTGTGATTGAACATTTATGGAGTACTTTCAAGTAGAAGGTGAGAGATGCCAGAATTAACATACCAAATGCCTTAAGGTTCCTTTTGAAGCAACCTGGGTGTTCTTAACAGCTTAGCATCCAACAGGTTAATCAGATTTATGCTACACAACAATAATAAAGAAATTCTTGCTTAAATAGATCTATCAAATATTAAGTGTGTACCCTGAACATTCTTTCCTATATATTCAATGCAATTTAGAGTGACGGGTAGCTTAGTGCTCAAACTTTACATGAATCTTACTTTTTCAGTTGAGTAGTAATATAAGTTTTTTAATCATTAATTTAACTACAGTAATTGCTGTGGTTAAAAAAAAGACGATTTCAAAGCAGCTGTCTGATACTCGGACATTTTATTTTGCATCCCTTAAATAGGTTAGGAGGGCCACTTCTATTGAACAAGCTGGTGAGAAAGGCCACTTCTGTCCTGCGTTGCGCTCTGGACTCGGTGGAGGATGTGGCCGAGAGGAGGGTGTTGTCCAAGCTTACAACATGGACAACACCTTTTACCGTCTGCACCAGACTGTGGAGGAGCTGAGCAGCTCATTTAATAACAGACTTATATACCTCGTGTGTAAAAAGGAGCGCTACCACAGGTCATTCATCTCCGCTGCCATCAGACTTTACAATGCCACTGCACTATAATCTAGTATAATAACACTGCAATAACTTATACTATTCATCTATTTAACAATCCAGAAAGTGCACTTTACCTACCACCACTTTACTGTAAGTAAGATACTGTATATATATATAAGTCACCTTAAATCTCTTCTTTATTTTTACCATCCACTCTACATATCTGGATGCACTGTATATACTTCATGTACCTTTTCCTTCTTTGTGCAACTCCTGTTTTTTTTTTTTTTTATAAAAGTGTTTATAAGAGTTTTCAGTGTAGTCCTGTTTCTCTGTGACTGGCTGGATGTGCTCACTGGCTGTGTGTTTCCCGAACGGGGCCGCCAGTGGAGCTGGTTGACTAGTTTCTTTGTTTATCTGCTTCGTTCTGGATGTCTGCTTCTGTCTCCTTGAACCCCAGTCGGCCTCGGCAGATGTCCACTCACACTGAGTCTGGTTCTGCTGGAGGTTTCTTCCTGTTACAAGGGAGTTTTTTCTCTCCACTGTCGCTAAAAGCATGTTTGGTGTGAGGGATTGCCTTGGAGTCAATGCAATCTACTGGTTTTCCTTAGATAGAAAACTTTGAATCAATTTTACTGTAGAGATCTGATTGAATTGTCTCTGTAAAGTGGCTTGAGATGACATGTGTGGTGAATTGACGCTATATAAATAAAATTAATTTAATTGAATTGAAGAGCTAATGTCACAACTGAATTTCTCCATTGTGAGATCAACTAAGTTCTATTCTATTCAATTCTATTTTTCTATTTATTTTCTTAGCTCTGATTTCTGACTGATGATGATAACAAATATATTTATATAAAATACTGTAAATAATAAAAAAATGTCTGTACTGCTGGCTGGTACCACAATGGCACTTCAATGTAAAATAGATTTTGTATACTGCATTTTGTTATCAACTGCACACCTTTATGGACAATAAAACAACAGAAATTGCTTTGCATATTTATTTGACATGACATTGAGAGAACATAAACAAAATGTTAAGACACTTTAATCAGAGCGTAATTGTTTTTTCAAGTGTCTGACCAAAGCTCTCTTATTGATCACTGGGCTGTTCAAACAGAATCTTTCACCAGTCCGGTTAAACTGTAAAAAAAACAAAAAAAAACATTGCACAAAGTCGTTAGAGGCAATACATGAAAGGAAAAACAAAAAGTTTTTATTCACATAAAAGCTAAGAGTAACCAAAGAAGAAAAAGAGTATATGCATTAAACATTAAAATAAGGGACGGATTTAGACTTTTTTCTCCTTTGCTTCTATTTTCGTTTAGTGTTTAAAACCTGCAGCTGTGCAGTATGACCTTCACCAGGACTAGCTGTTTTAATCACAGGCTGCAGCCCTACGTAGGAGATTTGAGGTCAACAGAGCTCCATGATTCGCTTCACTGTTGATGTTTTTAAGAGAGTAAACCGTCTTCAACATTTTTATAAAAAAAAATTTTTTCACAAACCTTTAATGAGACACTTACCTGCACTGCTATCCCATATCCATAACGGATATACGTAGCAAGGTGCTCACAGTTGTTGGACAATAACCTATATGTTTTGCACTTATGGCTTGTTTCTAAGATCCGTTGCCTAATTTCTTCATCAGTTCCTCTTTGAAATGTTATTTTTGTGATAGGGTCTGTGTAACCGTCCAGGTAATTGTCCACTTTTGGATCTTCATCGTAATTTAGCTCAGAAAAAAGACATTTTGGAGAAATACAATTCTTCACTGTAAAAAAGAAGAGAAATAAGACAAAATCAAGGATCGCGACACAAAATAGTTTTCAGTATACTTTAGTGTTATTACTATGTAAGCTGAATATTTGTTGTTCTGTTTTTCTGTCAGTCTCTCTTATTTCACCTTTAAGCTTGTTTTTTGTTATATGTATAAATACCGAGTTAGAGGCAGGAAGAATCTATTGGTTTCTTCCTATTTTTATATTAATACTTTCTGTCCGAGCATGTCCTCTTGATTATAGTATTCTATCATGATAATTTCTTGCACCTTCATGCATTTTCATTCCTGTTATGCTACATATGCCTGCCTTTGAGCTTTATTTCCCAACTTTTAGGTGTATATACTGTGACAGTCTTGTGTGTGAATGATGCAACAACTTTAAAGACAACTTTTAAAGTGATTGTAGTGATTTGATACGTCTCACAAAATTATAGTGCTCTAGCTTTTTTTTCTTATTTTAATTTAGGTTTGTTGTGTATTGTACTTACCATGCCCAAAAATGTCCTGAGCCTTAGTTTTGGGAAGTCTATGCTTTATTCCTTTCCCCACATAAACAGCAAAATGCTTGTACTTGACAAAATTAACGCTCCTTTCAAATGAAATCATATCTCCAAATTTAAACTGTGAATGGAAGAATAGAAAACATATAAACCAACTTTAAGTAACAGTCTGATCAAACTGCTGTAAAATTCACGCAAAAACACAAGTTAAAAATGAAGGTCAAATAAATTTGCCAGCATCTTACTCCATTGGTTTCCAGAAATGTGACGGCCAAAAAGAGGATTACAGCTGTCGGGATCAGGCTCCTCATTGTACCAGAAAATGAATGACTGAAAATCAACAATACAAACAAATTTATATAGATTAAAATACAAATAAGAGAAGTAAAGTCACAAATCTAGATCTAGTTTTAAGAAGGAATAAAGGCAGGAGTGTAGATTTGCTTTAAAAAAAAAAAGGCAAATCCAGAAAACTGCACAAAAAATCCTATTTAGTCTCCTATTATTTTTTAACTTCATTGCTATTTTCAGCATTTGTTGATTTTTTTAAAGCAATATTCTAAGCTTAACAGGTTTTAACACTTCCTATGAGATATTAAGCTATTTGATAGCTTTGTTAACAACCTATAGTTAGTAATGAGGTATACAGATGTGTAATTAAAGAGTTACACTGTACTCACCTCCCTTGCTGAATGACAGAATGAAATGCTGAAGAAGTTTGATGACAGAATGAAATGCTGAAGAAGTTTGGGACATGGCTTTATATACCAAACAGGAGACAGATAAGTCAGCAGTCTGACTAAGACAATATCAAACAAAAGATACACATTTAGAACACTTTGTTTTTATGTTTTGTCTTTTCCATAGTTTCTAGGTAGGGCTCACAGTTTTAATTTTGTTTATTTATGTTTTGTTTTATGAGATACTGTCTTGTCCCATGATAACTTCTAAATTACAATGCAGAATTTATTTTTTTTGGAGAGGACGGAATGTAATCTACATCGCTTGCTCCTTCTAATAAGTTGAGGAAACTTTTATTTAATTGTATGATTTATTTAGTTTTCCTAACAAATTCATTTGAGATACTGTTTGTATTATTATTTTATGTTTTTTGTATAATTATTCCCAGAAAACCGTGCTATGGTTTTTAAATTTATTCAACTTGTCATGCTTCAGAGTAACAGTTCGCCGTCTGCATAGACGATCTTTGGTTCCGCGTGCGCACCAGTAGGAAGAAGCATAGATATCTATGGGAAGAAGGCCGTTGACAGGGGAAGGACAGCGGGCTGGTGAGCGGCAGCACAGCGGACCGACATGGACCGGACGGCTGTGGTGAAGGTCGGAGCCGCAGCCAGCGCCAGCGTCTGTGTGGTGTTCGGTGGCGTCGCGCTGGCACAGTACATCGTAGCTAAGAAGAAGCGGGCGGGGAAGAAAACGAAGATCATAGAGATGGTGAGTTAAAGTACTCTAACTGCGTTTATGTTAAGAAACAGGAAACGGATTGTGAGGCCTTCAAAATAAAATTACCTTACATTTTGATTGGAATATTATGCAGGCATACGTTGAAACTTAATATAAGATTATGACCGGAAATTAAACACGATATTGTTTTTATCTTTATTCCATTAAACTTGGTGAGTGCACTGCGCATGCGCACCGGGTACCCCTAAAACTAGCGGCTCTTTAGAGGTCACTACCAGCCACTTCTCACGGCTGAAGGGGCTGCAGCTTTCTGTTTATGGCTGCTAAGCTGTGACAGCCCAGCTGTTGGTCAGTAATACTTTCACTGCTCTGAAAAGAGCTTTGTGTGGCCATGGTCGATCGAATGGGCTCGGTTCAGGTTATGCAAACCCCATCCAACACTAAAACTCTCTGTTTTTACATGGAAACTGCAGAGAAGTTCTTCACATACTTCCAAAGCATGTCATTTGCCAATGTATAAGAGCAATAATAGAAATTTCCCAGCATTTAAACTGAAAGAAACAAACAAACACAAAAAGCAGTCTTGATTAGCATTAATTTTGTGGCACTGGCCTCCAGTTAGAGCAGATTTAAAAACCTATAAAGTGAGGAAGATATGAGAGTTTTTAGAGCAAAGTTTCACACAGCCTTAAATGCATCCTTGACAATGGGTACAATATTTCTTGTTAATTTTTCAGCTCCCCTCACCATCCGTTGCAGGGCTCGCTTATCTGGCATGTTACAGCTGCTGATGTTGAGGGCTTTGCAGCGATGTCAAAAGTACACACATTTGTTACTTAAGTAGAAGTATAGATACTGCAGTTAAAAACCACTGGTAAAAGTTGAA